AGCTGCAACCTCACTGTGTGTGAAGGACTTTTGAGAAGACTGTCTGAGTTTGACATTTGCCATGTTTGGAGTGAGATGGCAATGAAAGAGACAGTGGGACAAAGAGAGACACAGGACAAAGCTGAAAAAAAACTGACTGCCATTGGACTGAAAAGTGGGAGAGAAGAAAAGGAGCAGAAGAGGGCTGAGGCTGCTGTTTTAGTGTGGGGAACCAAATTGGGTTAAGGAATCCAGGGAGACAAGCGACTGCCTGGAAGTGGAGGATTGACACAGTGTCCACACCACCACAAAAGGGGGAGGAAGACAAGCACTGAGGTATGCAAGAGTACTGTTAGAACAATGGAAAGGTGACACCACACATGCAGATAATATGCACCAGAGATAACACAAAATCATACACAAAGTGTTACATTAAAAGAGGGTGTAACTGTGCAGCTCAGATAAGACTATTGATATGTCTCTGTTGTGTATATTACGCCACGGGACGGAAAGATGGTGAAGAAACAATTGTTAAAGGAGTACCAGTTAAAGCCTTAATATCGGACATAAAACTACAGAACAAAATACACCTGCCAGATGAACCCATACCACAAGTAATGATATCTGCTTGGAATGAAGCAATAAAAATTTGTGGTTTGGAAAATGCCTCTTAAGTCTTAAGATGGTCCGCATATGATTCAGACTTTACCCCGAATCATTGTGATAATCGATTCAAGAACTGGATTTCAAAAGGCCTAACTAGTTACTATTCATTTTTCCACAAGGGGGCATTTCAAAGCTTTGAATTCTTAAGGAGAAAATATGATTTAGGCTCAGAAAAGTTTTCAGAATATTTACAGGTCAGAAATTATTTTATTCAAAACTTAAAAGTGAATCTAAACAATTTACAATTTGTAGAAACATTTTTTATCATTAATTAAATCTGGAGCGCAAAATTACTTCCAGATTATACATCCTGTGGTGTAAAAACGACAGCACTGTCTATATTAAAGCGAAGTGGGGAAAAGAAGGTAGTCTAATCATTACATGCAAGTTTTGGGGCAACATATGCAAGATACAGTGGACCACAACCGGGTCGAATGTTTGGCGTGAATTTTGCTGGAAAAGCATCCTGAGATTCTTCATCATCCCTGCTCAGAAAAGGTATCGGGGAACTGGTGACACTTGTTGGAGATGTGGGGGAGATGGTGCTAACCATTTCCATATCTTTTGGGACTGCCAAGTCATTCACCAGTATTGGTCTCTAATCCATGAAAATCTACAAAATGTTTTTTCATTTGTTTTTCCTTTAACCTTTGAGACCATATTTCTGTGTAACATACCAGTGCATAAACTGAACTCCATTGATAGAAGACTTTTGTATATCCTAGTGACCACGAGTCAGTAGTCAGTGGGGTCCATAGGGACTGAGTAAAGCACTAGTGATGTGCGATACCACTGATTTCCTTGCCGATCCGATACCAAGTATAATTCAGGGTGGTATTGACGACACTGATCCGATACCGATACTTTGCACAAAAACGTATTTTATTTATTGTATCTGAAATTATAGCGTCATAATGATTACAGGGCTTCAGGTTACTTGTTCTTATCACTTAGTAATGCAGAGTTCATCATATAGAAATAAGAAAACTCAAGTTGTGCTCTATTTGAACACCTTGCCTGCCTGCAGCACTAAAGGTCGCCGTGAAAGACATCTGTCTCGCCCTAGCAGCACCTGTCCCTGTCCTCCTCTTCAGTTCGCCTCAACATGCGCTCGTCATATTCTGTGATATGATTTACTGTGAGGTGTTTGACGAGGTTAGTGATGTTGCAACAACACCTCACTGTCTTGCCACATGTATCGCAAACCGCGTCTGTTTGTGGATGTAAAATACATCCACAAATGACTCCATTTACGCTCAGCCATTGTTGTGAGTGCGCACGCCATTTATACAGCCGTATTTCGCACATGACTATGAAAGGCGGACGAGAAAGTTCTGGAAAGAGAAATTCTTTCCAATGTAGACAATCTGAATGATATAGTTTCTTTCCACTGCGTTCCTGTTAATGATAAACTACAAATTTATCCTAAATTACAAAAATATCGATATTTTAATGTGAGAATCAATTCTAGAACATAAATGACTGGTATCGGAGGAATCGATATTTCAGGATTGATCCGCACATCACTATAAAGCACTGTACAATTACAGGCCATTTACCATAAAAAAACGAGGAGATGGCTCAAGTCTGTTAACCACCAGCGATAAAAAGACTGGATATATTATGTACAAGAGACCTATACCTATTCTTTCTTAAAGTGCAGAGGGTTACCTTCTTTATAATATGGTCTAAATGGACGGAATACGTTAAGCCTGTGAGGTGTGATTTTCTATGAACCATGACACTTTATTATTATCATTATTATTATTTTGATGCACTGATTTAAATACCCATGTCAATAATGTGATGCTAACTTGGCTGCCCTGCTACGCCCCTCCCCAAGTTTCTATGGGGTTTTCTTTGTTTCTTTATTTGATTTGTTTTTCTTTTCAATTAATGCTTTTATTCTTTTTGCTTTGTTCTATTTTAGTTTTTTTAATTATTATTATTTACTTTTTTTTCCCTATTTTTTTTTGGTCATTTTCCAATTATAAGTTTAAAAATTTGAAAACAAAAGCAATGTACAAAGCCATACTGCGTGCTTTCTCAATAAAAGACTCAATATTAAAAAATGCATGCCATGAAAGAGTTCGGTTCTTAGGAGGAAAATATACAGTTACTGCAACAAAAATAAGAATTTAATACAAAAGTAGATGGTATCATCAGTCTTCCATCAATGCTGAGTTTAATTCTTCAATATGATCAGAAACTCAGTGATTTATGTATTTGCAAAAATGTTATCAAACATGGTGAAAGTTCAGCTATTTACTTTATGTTCTTGTCCACAAGTTTCTCTGTTAACGTCCACTTCCTCTTATGAACCTGAAACTAAATCAGAACAAATACAGTGTAAAAACAGAAACAAATATATAATGGTGCTGATGTTGTGAGTCTGCTTTGTGAACTTCTACATTCATATTTGAAAAAACATATTTATTATCCGTTTTTTCCTGATTTTAGATGTACATGTTTGCGAAATTTTAAAGTCCTGTTATTTTATTATTTGGCTAAACAAGCAACAGATTGAATGTAACTAAAGAAAATGAATGAAAGCCATTCCAACAGGACTCTGAACGTGTTTTACTGGAAGAACAATATGATTTATTTCATTCTTAAACTCATTTGATTGTCAGTGATCCAGTGATGTATTTGTATGTTTGTACCTGAGCCTGTCTTAAGATTCACATCCTCGTAGTCAGAGCTCCCGTCTGGGTCATCATTTCTCCCTGTTCAGACAGTATTAGTGCATTTGATTAAGAACAGCTCTCTTTTATCTGTATTTCAAGATTAGGAGTCACAATAACATATTAATAAACCATGACATCCTTACATTTTCTGAACTCAGTCTTCTCATCAATAACTTTAAGTTCAAGTGTAGATGTGACATTTCTATGTTCATCTGCTGGTCCACCTTAAATAATAACATGACATCAGGTCCGATCGGTCAGTTTATAATCATTATATCTCTTATAACTCTGTTATAGCTCAGTATTATTATACTGTACCACTTCCAGTGTTTCCAGAGGATTTGATTATTTCATAAACTGGAAAATCACCTGCAGGGCAGACAACAGAAGAGAAATGACTTTTTCACGATATTTGTTTGTTAACAAACTTAGTGTTAAAAATGCAAGTAATAGTTTCTAGGACTGACCAGGAAGAAGAGAGGAGTAAACGTTGTTCTCATTCTTGTTGGCTTTTTGTTGTGCAGCAGAGTTTTGGTTGGTGCTCTGAGACTGAGTGAGACTAAAACATGCAATAAACACTGTATTTTAATCAGGAATAGTTATAATTTCATGTTATTTTTAAAATGAAAGAAAACTTTTGCACCAACCTGTTACAACAAAGATCTATAAAAGAAAATAAAAAATGATTGTTGCACTGGTTTGTAATCAGTTTACTTAAATGTGTCACATCAAATCACTGATTAGAAAAGCTCTCACCCTTTATCTTTCTGCAGCAACACAGCAGCAGCATCACAAGGATAATTCCACTAACAAGTCCGATGATGAATGGAACAATAAATGAACCGATTTTAGATCCGAAGCCTAAAGTTTCTGGTAAAAATCAAAACACAAAGTCAAACTCAGAAAGAAGTCCAACTAGATCTAATAAAATCTGAAAAGTTTAGGCCACATCAAGAAAAACAATATGAACCTAAAAACAACTTTAAAATAGTTTTTTATTATTAAAGACCCATTTTAACAGTAAGACGTTTTATGTTTAGAAGTCTTGTTATATATAAAGTCACCATCATGGTTTTGAGTGTGAGATGTTTGAGGGGTTTTCTTTTCTTATATCTTTGTATTATAGTTCTGTGCTCCTGTTCTTTGGGTCTTTAGGTTTATTCTATGTTATCATGAGTTTTGTGTTTGAGCTCCATAGTCTTCTGTTTATTTTCTATAGTCCGTTATATTATTTATATTTCTTGTTCATGGTTACTTTTGCTTTGTTTATACTCAGCATTCCTCATTAGGTTATGCAATCTTCACTTATGATCGTTTCTGTTTCCTTTGTCTCCACAGTCAGTCAAGTCTCCATGTTTGTTTATCTTCTCTCACTGGGTCAAGTTCACATGTCTTAGTCCTGAACTCAGTATTTTATTTTACTTCCTGTTTTGTTGCATTATTCCTCATGCTCTGTGTTTCATCCTTGTGTGTCTCCAAGTCAGGTTTCTCTTGTTGGAGAGGCTCCTGCCTTGTGTTATAATTTCAGCAATGAAGCTACTTTTGTGTTTTATGTCTGGCTTTCCGAGTCCTGTGTTTGAGTCCAACCCTGTCTGCCACACAATGAACTGACCTAGTTTAATCTGAAATGTTTATGTGGAAAATATAATCATCTTTATTATTTTAACCTTATTTATTCCGTGTCGTTATTAAACAGCACATATAAAACTCAGTTTTACCAAAGCAAAGTTATCTCATAAACCTCATTAAATACGAGAGCACCATGTATATTAGCAGAGTTGCTGTCGCAGAGCCGTCTATGATTATGTTAAGTCACTACTACATTGGTTTTTGAGTTTATTAAAACTGCATTTCAATAAACTTTTTTTTTAATTTGCAGCTTCATCTCCAGTGGTCTTTTTGTCTGTTTTAATTTAGTAGCAACAAGTTTGAAAAGTTTAGTGAATAAAATTAAATCTTCAGCTCCAGTTTTTGTCCCAAAAAATTAATAATTAAATAAAGTGAAGTCATTTAAACATACCTCGTACAGTGATGTTGACTGCATTGCTGAACTCTCCTGATCCAGACTCACACCAGTACACAGTAACACCCTCCTGTAAGCTGTGGATCTCATAAGAGGATCCACTCAGTTTCTGGCAGTCACAGCAGTGTGAAAAAAAGCCTTTTTCACTAAACTTCCTCACTCTCCACTCAGTGAAGTTTCCCTCACAGGTCAGTGAGACAGAGTCAGAGGTGAAGTGTTGCACTCTGTCAGGACTCACTGTGAGAGACGCTGCTGAATGAACATCTGAAAAACAGGATGTAAGAAGGGTTAAAACAGGGTTATAATTCAGGCTCAATCTCCAATCAGTGTGTTAAGCCTTCTCATTATGGTTCGCATTTAGTCCAATGAGTTCTGAAGATTTTCTGAAATTTTCAGAACTTTGTCTTTTCTCCTCCGTTCTTGTTCATTCTCTTGCATCTCAAAATGCCTCGTCATTTCTTCTCCCTCTGCAGACTGCGGCCCTGTTTTCCCAGCAGAAGAATGTCCTAGCAGCACCATGTGAACCACATAATAACCTTTATAGGTTACTGTATAGCATCTGTAATTGGGAAGTGAATGTTTTTAGTAGATGGCCGATGAACTATTCTGGTTATGTAGGAAAAAAACATTTTATTTGAAATAGCCCAAAAACACAGATGAAGCCCCAATGTCCCAATTTTCCACTAGCACATGAATGCCGGTTACATTTGGGAATCTGTAAAGTTACCTGCACATGTGACCTTTTCTGAGCATATCAGGCAACGGCAAGGGAGAAACACTTTTACACATTTGCACAGAGTTTTTTGAGAGCAAAACTGATCAAACTTGTAAAGTTGAACTTAACATTTTGTGTGTAAATTATTACTTTTTAATTATATATAAATTAATTCAGTTCAGTTCAATTCACTTTTATTTATACAGTGCTATTGTAAGGTAGTCCCTACAATAACGCATGCAGAGAAGAGCCCAACAATCATATGACCTATGAGCAAGCACTTTGGCAAGTGTGGGAAGGAAAAACTTCCTTTTAACAGGAAGAAACCTCCAGCAGAACCAGGCTCAGGGAGGGGCGGCCATCTGCTGCGACCGGTTGGGGTGAGAGAAGGAAGACAGGATGAAAGACATACTATTGAAGAGAGACAGATATGTATGATTCGATGCAGAGAGGTCTATTAACACATGTTGAGTGAGAAAAATGACTGAAAAGGAAATACTCAATGCATCATGGGTGGATGTCATCATGGGAGTCCCCCAGCAGCCTACGGTTATTGCAGCCTAACTTGCAGCCTAAGGGAGGATTCAGGGTCACCTGGTCCAGCCCTAACTATATGCTTTAGCCTAAAGGAAAGTTTCAAGTCTGATCTTAAAAGTAGAGATAGTGTCTGTCTCCTGAAAATGTATGCTGTCTTCTGAAGATACTGCCTAAGGGAAGCATGTATAATATAAATAGAATTGGTACTAGCACTGAACCCTCTGCATCCTCTTCACACACTAATTTAACTTAGTGTGTGAAGAGGACTCTCCATTTAATAGAATATTGGGTCAACAGTATCGAACACTGCACTGAGGTCTTGTAGGACAAGCACAGAGATGAGTTCACTGTCAGAGGCCATAAGAAGAGCATTGTAACCTTCAATAAAGCTGTTTCTGTGCTGTGATAAGCTCTGAAACCTGACTGAAAATCCAGGGAGCCAGGCATTAAACCACCAACCTTCTTATTAGTAGATAAGTCGATGACCTGACCGTGGCTCAGGGGGTTGGGAAGCGTATCTGTAACCAGAAGGTCGCCGGTTCGATCCCCGGGCTCTCTGTCCTGGTCGTTGTGTCCTTGGGCAAGCCACTTTACCCTACTTGCCTACTGGTGTTGGCCAGAGGGGC